TTTCTTCTCTCATAATGATCAAATTTAATAAGTATGACGCAACCTTAAGTGCAACCAGATGTATGAGTAATGCTCTAGTACTAGCATCCATACAAAAGCATCAACTACCATTTAATCAACATTCACAATGAAAAATTCCCCAACCATTTATATGGAAAATGAGTTCATCAAAAACAGAAAGAAAGCCATAAAAATTACAGCCAACTAACATTCCCATGTACCAATAACAGCTGTATGCATAATTATTCCTAGAGCAATACTGTTCAAATATAACTTACTCATATCAGAAAACATGCGCAATGCTACAGAATGATGCATTTGTAAAGACATGCACAAAATTAGTACAAAATCAAAGAAAGAGTTTTTACGAGGGTTAAGTATCATTAATCAGAACGATTCGAGTTATCTTTATGATTCGAGGTGATTCAAGTGGATAACAGTTGTTAGATGATTATTAGTTGATTAATGGTGCAGCAGTTATTGAGGAATTGAGGAATCAAAGGCTCACCATTGTTTATCGTGGTTAATTAATAGCCACATATTTACTTATCGTTACAGTTAAAAAATTTCACTTGAATGCGAGATGAAGAGGACAATTTCTACGCATACTTTGAGGCTAAGAATTGGATGTTCACTGAAATCCTAGCACGAAATCCTGACGCATGTGAATCAGTAAGTTTGTATGCTTACTTAAGCCGATTGCGAGAAACGTTTACCGTTCTGAAAGGCTCAATGAAAGTGAACAAAAACCTGAAGAGTAGTATAACAGAATTGAAGAATGACTGAAAATTATTGTGACGATTGATCTCGGTCGTGTTATCAAGCCATATATTACCAAATACCTGAAAGTGCAGCCAACTTGCAAACGCCAAAAAAACTCTTCTTGAAGCAACATGCAAACAACTATTCAGTCAGAGAATTAGTTCGGTTACGCAAGCATTCAAAAGCAATCCTACAATGAACGATGCGATTTACGGTGATCGCATACAAACGAATTGAAATTTACTGTCGATACGATGATTTCTGCGAGAATTGTTCTGATTATTCGTGACTATGCATATAGTGTCTGTCAACTGTTGAAGATATCCACGTGAAATGAGGCAATGAGCCTTGGAGCACGTTAGGGCATTAGTTGGGAGTAATGTTAGTGAACAACAATGATTTGCTTAACAATCCAATCTTAACGTCAGGATATTGGTACTTTGTTGACTTGGAGAAGCTGTGAATGCGGTGATCAAACGATGGATAAAATATGTTAGTAATGAGCATGAATGCATTAAATGAGTGCTTAACGTGAACGTTTCCTAACGCATCAATTGAAAATGAGCAACTTATTGTTAATAAGCAGCTATTCACTGAACAGCAGCATTACGCTATAAGTGTGTTGTTTATTCAATACAAACAGCAGGCATTCATTATAAGCGAAAAGCCTGAAAAAAATGGATGAAGATGCGAAATGCATCAATCACTACACCAACTAAATTGATGAGACGATGACCACTATATGCGATCTTCATCATGCTCAAGATAAGCCGTCCAAACGCATCATAATCGAGCGCTAAACTGCTCTAAGTGACCAAAGGCAGTGGCTATCGCTCAAAACTTTCAATGCGCATTTACCTAAAGAGGACGAGAATGGCGTGGAAAAAGTTGATGAAGTTTGAATTGCGATTGATTTCAGTTGATGAATCGAATGCGATATTACCATATAACTGCATTAAGTCTTATTAAATGATAGAAACGTAATTGCAATAAACGCTTTCTCAACTGCCATTCTGCTATGCATGTGCAAAAGATCACAAGTAACGCATCGAACTGAACCTTTTCAGAACATTTCTCAAAAACAATCAAATACTAGAACAGTGCCTTTATCCTGTGCAGCAATCATTCTATTTCTAATTCATTATCGGTTGTGTAACTGGCGTAAAACAATTGCTTGTTCAATAACTGAACATGAAATTATTGGTAAAATTAGTTTAGTGACNTGTAACTGGCGTAAAACAATTGCTTGTTCAATAACTGAACATGAAATTATTGGTAAAATTAGTTTAGTGACGTGAAATTTACGAGACATCACATTGCTACAGAAAAACAAAATGATAATGTGGAAAAAAGGGAAAGTGACCTGCATTCCGACAATTGCATAAATGAAGAATAACATTCCAATCAGAAGACATACGTACGGCAGTGCCTGAAATACCATTGTGTTTATGCATGACACTTAGCAATAACGGAATGCTCTCTGAAGCACTACTTGATCTGATTTCTCAAAACTGAACGGAAAATTCAACGGAGCAGAGCGGTGAATAACCTTAAACGATTGCACAAATGTCCACAGTAGTATCCGTATGGTGTATCCTTGCTGCAGCAATCGAATGAGACGAGCTGCTCTGAAGAGACGCAGAAATCCGAGTGATACAAAATGCCCACCAAATTCGGTTACCAACGCGTCTGTTATCGAACCAACGACCGTAATAAAATCGAAACGATTCCATCCATCGCGGAAGTAATTCTAAACAATTCATAATCCGTCTCTATGAACTTACATTATCATACCAAACAATCGGCGGGTGCAATTCCAACCTCTTTCACTCAATATGTGAAACCGTTGTTCCAATCGCTAAATTTCTTCGATGTGAGAGTTTTGGCCTA